ACAAAAGGTTAAAATTATTATTATATAAAACCAGCTGATGATTTGTACGGATTTATTGATTTTACAGTAGTTTTCATAATGGACCGACATCAGTTGGAGAACTATTGAAAACCTGAGAGCATTGGATAGCTATTTCGTCCTAGTTTCTGGACTTCGTAGGAATGCACTCATGACTTCTTGAAGAAACAAGCCTAGAACAATCAATAATGATATTGCTTAATCATCAGGCATTGTCATCGGGGACTTTTCCTGCCGACTAGGTCGAAGGTAGGGTGGAAGTCCTCCAAGTGCATTGGGTGACAAACCCATTATACAGGGAAGTTATAGAAGTAGGAGATAATGGAACATTTGATTGCAGCTCACTGGCTGAATGATAACGCGCACGATATGAGACGTAGGTTTAGTATCTCGCGGGTTAGTGGGTGTGGCCTCCTGAAGAGTTAAGAACTGGGACGGGTCATCTGTCCAATGTTGCCAGATTTTCAGTGGTTCCCCAGCAGATGTCAATTGACGATGAAAGCTACTTTCAGTTATATAAATGAAAATGTACTTCTAGATCGTTCGTTGATGGATAATTTTTTCAGTAAATACCAATGTTCACAAAGATGACCTGTGTTATGATGCATTTGACGATAGCATTTTTTAGTATTTTTCTCAGCAAAGCCCGGAAGAACTGAAGCCGACATTAAAACAGTTCTACAGTACACACTATTAAGTATTTCTTGTATACTACAGACAAACTGTTCTCAGTCTCTACCCGTAAAAATTTCACTCAAAGATCATTAATCTTATGTACAAATAAATTATGAAAACAATATGAATGAAAATAAAGCTGATTTATTTGTGAAAATCCGAATTCATCTAAGAAGAGTCAATAAGTGTGTATCACAGAGATTACTTCACTAATTTTTTAACAAAATTAAATACTTTAGTCAAATACAATAAAAGGTACGAAATAAGTTTTCTTTTGAAGTATTGTTTGTAAACTACTTGAATTCATACTAATCCAGTTAGTGGAGTGCATAAAAGCAACGTTGAAATCATTTGAAGTAGATGACAATGATACTTTAGATGTTCTAACGAAACAGACTCTAGGTATATCCAGAAATCAAAGCTGTGTCTGCAAGAAAAGGTGGCAAATTACTTTGCACTTCAACGGTCCTCCGGTGTCTTGTATCTTATACAACCTAGTTATAAACTACCGCAGTAAAATGCATATGATTATCTGAATTATTTTAAGTGTATGTAATAACTGTAAGCCTGTATTTTGAATGTTTCGTGACAATTTTAATATAATAATATACTTTCTGTATTCATCAATTGTTCGGGTTATCATTAAGTTCTTTATCTCCCCAGGTTCCCTTCTTGTCTAAAGCTGAAAGCACGATTTTATACGTGATTATCCCACTATCTTTAGTTACAAAAATAATTTAAAAATAAAATGGGATATAACCTTGGTGTCAGACTTGTTGTTAAAAGTGTAGTTACTTATCCAATTTAGAAAACCATGTGTAAACGGGAAATTTTGTTATGCTGTCTGCGTACATAATTGTTCAGAAAGACGATATTTTCTATATTTTTCAGCTTTCATACTCACAGTCATTATAAGCTAAATATGTTGGTGTGTGCATGCTCAAAATTGTTCAAGTTTGCTTAGAATTTGAGGTGGAACTGAAAGGAATTTTACTTTGTTATTACATTGTAATGTTTTACTTTATTCACCGTTTTATTTCTTTACAAAGAAGTAAGGTACTTTACTATTCCTTAGTTAATTTATGCTGTTCTAAATATTATTTATTGTATATTGCTTAAGAAAACTTGAAAACTGAGGAAGTGGACCCATATTATTTTACTCTAAAAGCTACTTTTGCTCTTTTCCAGAACTTATAAGCTAGAGCGTTATCGTGCGTATTAATTATTCCTTACTTTCCTTTTCTTTTAAGTCAAAGATGTTAGTTGTCTACGTAAAAGTTTGTTGATAAATAACTTTTTGAAGTTTCAGAATTTTTTAAAACCACCTCAGAGTATCCGGAGAGATATTTGTTCTGGTCAAAATTATTCAGACTTTATTCACCTTCTTCAAAACCACTGTAGATGGAAACCTAGGATAATGTTATGGCTGGTTGCATTAATCTCTAGATTGCTCAGAAAAGCTTCAAGGAATCTGAATACCTTCACAACCGACCGAAACAGCGAATTTCATAGAAACATTACCTAGGCAAATACATGAGCATCAGACTACTTAAAGTCACAAAAGTGATATCTACTTTCTTTCTAAACAAACCTGGAAGCAACCAAGTCCATTATAAATGCATGTATATAATATCGTTGTGTTTTGCATTTGGTTGACCTCCCAATAAACGTCATATCGTTTTAACACTCATTTTGTCGTCGAGGAACCGAGCAATCACTGCAAGTGAAATTCCAAGTATGTTGTCCCTGATTTCTCTTCAGTCATTCAATCACAGAACTACTTCAATGTTAATGCGATATTTTAGGGGCCTGTGATTCCGTTTATTTAGGTAATCTTCATTTTGGTGAGTGATTTGAGCTATAGATTCAATATGTCCCAATAAATAGGCTTTCTCGAGACACATTAAAGTGCTTCAGATAACATCCAGGTAACTGTTTGACAAAATTCTATTGTAAAAACTCGCATGCTTCATTTTTTGAAAGTTTTGGGTAACTGTGCATATTTCAGCCTCCTGAAGATAAGTAGCTTTTTTTCGCACACTAAAGATATAAATAACTCGAAATTTACAGAACCAGCTAGTCCACATATGCAAAATGAAAATCTTATTTAGCCTTTTAAGTCTACCTGAATATGGATACTTAGAAGTCATCTGTTAGGTTTTAGTAACAATACAGAAAAAGTAAGTAGTGCATGTGATGCAGTAACTCCTCCTGTCAGGAAACTATCGTTTGTATTTTTAGTTATTCTAAGTTTCAATTTTGTTTTCTAGGTTTCCTACAGTCAACTCTTGATGCTTGCATGTAGTCTGTACGCAACAATAATGACAGAACTTGCATTTTTATTTACTAAATAGGCGCCACTATTTTACGCAGTCCTCTTCAGTCACCAAAATCACATGTATCGCCTAAAAGATACAGTGCGTTGCATTTTTGGTGGTATGATACTAGAAAAAAAGAGATCGCATAAAGTAATGTGGAATATCTCATTTATGCAGGCGAATTGTTACTGCGAAATATAGAGTCGTTGATCATCAACTAGCTCGAATACACCTTATTTAACCCAAAATCACAACCATGGTGTCAGGTAGTAACAATAATTATGCGACGTGTTCACACTGTCGCATAAAAATGGGCCCACTGAAGATATTTGTAAGGATTCACAAGCGTTTCAAGCTGTTTTAAGGAATATATGTGTATATAATGATGGAACTAATGCATACCTTTGATGTCTGTGTCAGAAAACTTTGCCTTTATCCTATCTTTTTATGACCTCGATAAGTGTAGTAGAAAAGTGCTTACGTTAAATAAACAGGCGATAATATATGAAATTGAACTAGCTATATATTTATGTTGTATCCGTAATCAGTTGACCAGTGATCACTGGTTCGTTGGGTCAAAATAGCTATCAACCAACAACGTGTGCACTTCGTGCATTGCTCGACCAATCTTATTTTCAATAAACTCATCGTACCCGGTACTTTTTTTCGACCTTGCACATATCCATACATCGACTGGCAGTAAACAGTACATTTGACAATGTGACCAATGCAGAAATTTCATTCTTACTATTTTGGTGGGTGTGGCACTAATAGTATCAGAACGACTTCAAACACAGTATCTAGTAGTAACAGAAGGATAAAAGTAAAATGAATGCTTAAAAGAGTAAAACTTAAAGATTTTATACCCTTTGTCTTTATGCAGTTCACATCAGATGATAAGTACCAAAATATTGTTTTGGCTCAATTATAACAATCAGTCAAAAGAACTGTACGGGTACTAAAGAGAAAGGATTATTCTAGTTAGAAAGAATAACTTTTGAAATCTATATCCTTTCGTCTTTTATTGACAGTTATGGAAAGTAAAAATCATGCTTTTGAGTGAAATTGGAAATGATTAAAGTAAGCTTATAGAGATGTTATCCAACTTGTCTGACAAATATCACTAAGATCATTTTCAATGACCATATAACATATTTACACCTGGTTACTAATAGTACATCGTTTCTACAGAGAAAATAACACCTCAATAAATACTTTCCTACTAAAAATCTGGTTAAGTTGTGATAATATGTGATCAGCCGTCTGTACTAAATCATCAGAATGAATGTATAGTGTGCACGCCTTCTGGAAAGTTAGCCGGCGAATGTTAAAACAGTTTATCTCAGATTTTTGAGTGCTCCAAAACTGGTAGATTGCAAAATGTGTAAACTGAAACACACCAATAAAAGACTGCGTACTTTATATCCGAATAAACATATTACTCATTCATAAGAGTTTCCCATGTAATATTTGAGCAGGATGAGTATCTATTCATTCTTTTAAATCTTGTCAGTTTATGTTGAAACCAGTAGCTAATCTCGAAAATAAAATGTAAGAAATATTCCGATATTGAGAAATCGCCAGACCTAATGAAAACATGTCAATGATTATAGGGAGACGATCAGTTAGTTCACCTGCTAATTATGAACTAACACACTGTTCACTAACATTTAACAAAAAAGGAACTAATTAGACATAAAATGATCATTAAATTTTTTCCTTTGTAACCTGGGATTAGGACACAGCTTGGTCGTTGTAAGTTGTGTATTTACGAGAGCAGTCTATGGATGATAACTTAATCCTTTCAGAACTTCCGTAAATAATTTCTAAAAATGTAAGTTCTTTCTATTTTCAAATCATAAATTGTGGCGTTTTGATTTATTTACTTCACTAGTTAGATGAAAGTAAGAAACGTGAGGGATAGTGAATAAAATGAAATTATTTTGTGACATTTAATCGGAAAATTTCCATGACATTTGTTTTACTTACTAACTTGAGCAACAGGTGAAGGGGTTCTTGCACGTTCCACGGGAGGAGGAGAATTTCGTGGTGAGCTTGTATGTGTCTGAAAAAAAAATATTTTACGAGAGATACATATGTATATATAACAGATTATGAGTATGGTTAAAAGTGCAAAACTAGGGAATTGCTGAGGTTAAAGCAAGTGTATTCGTCGACTAGCTGTTAAGCTAAAAACGATGTCTGGTATCAACTATATTATGGTAAATATCCCTATTTATTCCTTTCTCAAAATAACTTTATTTACAAATACATTAATACATGTTTAAGAATTACTACTGAACTATATGATTAGTTAGGTATTAATAACACCAGTCGGTAAAAGATTTAACTAAACAGATTCACACTGGTCTAGACAATAGATAGGAAGGTTTGTCAGTAAAACTGAAAGTTATCATTGTGAAATCTGAAGTGTTCACTATAGAAATCTGGCAGTGTAGCTTCTTATCGATACATTGATTGTTACTCGAAGAGTTATTGTCATAAATATTATGTCACTAGCTTACATCTCCTGTTATCAAAGACAACTTCATTTTCTTGATATTTCTAAAAATTTCTTAGTATCACTTGTGAAGAAACACTAGTTATTACCAAGTCTTGTCTCTTCTACTTTACTGAATAACTTGTTTATTATGTCCCATAACTCTTTTTAAAGACTTCCAAACCTCAAGTCTTCATAGTATTTACTGAACTTAGTCCTTATAAAAGATAAGAAACGTTTTCGTGAATATATATATATATATATATATATATATATATATATATATTGTTGTTCTCGATGGTACAGTGAGTATATTCCTTTTAATATTTATTGTAACTTTAGGCTGTCTTTTGCTTGTGGAAAGTTGTGAAGTAAAAAGAACCTATGTTACTCTGCAAATCTTATTATTTGTGCCGGATAATGGTTGAAGGTGAAATGAAAATCTGGACAGCAGTTGGATTCGAACCAGATACCATCGGGTGCCCGGTCCGGTGCTTTACCAACTGAGCTACGTTGAACCATCCATCACCCAACATAAATACTAGTCTGTCGAAATACGGCTCTCTCAGATAGTCAAATGATAATCAATATGATGCTTATTACTTGTGCCACATTTGGAAGGAGATACTTGAATCTGATTATTTTGACCTCGATTCATACCAGAAAACCTTTAGAATGCAGCTTTATCGTGAATAATCCTGCAACGTAAGATAACAGTTTCATATTTTACGGATTTGTTTACTGTAGACTTTAACTGCAGTTAGTATTTGCTGAAACGGTTTCGTAGTAAATTCTCTGACTCCATTGGCAGATGACAGAGGCTTTCGTTTAAAAAGATCAATGAGTTTTTCAGGCTCTAAGTTGGTGAGTGGTGACAACTGTGAAACCTATGACAGAAATTACATACAAGGTGTTTCCGATCAAGTGAAAATAAAAATGGTTCTAAACATTAAACGAACATGTATATCAGAGTTTCATGCATAGCACGAAGCCTTAGAGCCTGTATATAGTCTTTTGGTTGTAACTTTGAACAAAGTTTCATTCCACTGGTTAAAAAGATAAAAATAGTTGATTTGAATAGAAATAAATAATGGAAACCTACAACTTTCACTTCAATGTCTACCTAAAATAGAAGAAAAATATATGAAAAACCGTACAGTTCTCGACAGACAAGAGAAACAGCAAATATGGTAATAATTTATTTTTATGTTTACCTAGTAAATCATAAAACTAATTTTCTGTAAAATGATTTGTTTAAGGAAATACATCTTCAAAAACTCCTAGTCATACGGATTCAATACTTATTCATAGCAAGCCACTATTCACTGAACAGTTGTGTTCTGGCTAAAGTAGGAGGTGGAATGAATAAGGATAAGGATAGTCTGAACCATTCTGGGAAGATTAGACTTATCATTTGAAAAAATCAAAGTATTCAGTATAAATGGTTGTAAGCCATAAACGACAATTTAAAATCAACCAGGCTGTCTCAGATTCATTTACACCTCATCTTTCTTGCAATTTCGAACATCATACTCATTTTCATCTTTCATCCGCTTTACGAATCACATCCATTTTTTGTATTTAATTATTCAATATGCTTAGGTAATTTTCTCTGCTTATGGTTTTGTAAAAATATTACTCGGGAAATATAACGTATTTATTTACTTTTAATGATGCAAGACATCTACTTATTTCTCAGTATTGGGATTTTCTAAACTGTGAAATATTTTTCATGGAGAAGAAGTCAAGGTAGTTGATTCTACTAAAGGAGGAGCATATCTTGCACTCAAGAATCGATTGCTCAGTTATACTAAATATACCCCCTTTTATGAATCAATAGAAGTAAATACAGGCCAACTAACCTTTTTTACTTGATATTTACTCTCAGTACAGAGTTGGCGAAAATCTCCTAAGCAACCCTGTCTTCTTTATTCTGTGTTAAGTTCTTATTCTAGGGATCACAACTTAGCTATTTCTCACTGGTGATCAGTTTTTCATTTTGACTTAGTGAGCTAAGCACCCGAATCTGCAACCATACGCACCAATTCATACTTAAGCAAACTCAATCATTCACTGTCTCTTTCAGACATTATCTTTTATGAGTAATAATTCTAATTCCAACATGACCACTCTTAGTACACCTAGGAGTGAAAAATATGTTTGTAGAACACATGAATGTCATGTGTTATCAGCTGTAGATGTCGGTGATAACATAATGGAACTGTTGAATATGAATTTGTTGAAAAAACTACTTCTTTGTATTTTTTGCTCAATGCATATTTTGTCGGAAAAATGTATCTATGTGGTCAAGTAGGTGGACCTTCTGGAATAATACCTTTTTACAGATTGTGTGTAAACTGATAGTAACATGCTAAAAAATATGAAATATTGGCTCTGATAGTAAGAAATATTAACAAGATTACTGATAATATAATTATCTCATGCACCAATGTAATGCAGACTGACGCTTCTGTAAATCATATGGAATGTATTACTGATACCCTAGGAATTTCAGCGTTAGTGAGACTGTCATCTCATCTTTTTTACTTTGACATAACTTACTCATTACTCTGAAGACACAACCATCTAGGTTATTAGATCGTTAATGCACAAGTAGTACAGTTAAAAACTAGATGTCACATATTTCCTCTTTTGTGCAAGTAAATATCATTGCTAATAATGACTGTTAAACTTCTAATTACGGAGAGCTGACGTAGGTATGATTGAAATTTCTTGCAAAATATGTGAATAACTTGAGCATTGGGTAGATGAATTATCAACTAAATATATTTGTAAAATCTTTGAACAAGAGGTTTTCACAAAGTTACGAAACGTCAGAAGTTAGGTTTTCTAGCTCACTGGGATTTTATTTGTAATGACTTTCTTATTTCTGACTTAGTAGTGCTGGCTTTTCGCTAGACGCACTCAACATTAGAGACTGGCAGATTAAACTTACCTTTTTGGGACTGACTAAGTATTAATAACTTAAGCGCTTTCAGCAGGTGGATTGAGATTTTGATTCATCTTAAGATAGTTTTCATGACATTTCGCCAAGTAAAATTAGTGAAAACCTGAACGTATTTAATATAAATGTCATCATATTTATTGTTATCATTATTAGAATACAAGCACGGTAAAGCAGAGGCACTAAAAACTACACCACACAAAATAATATAGAAACATTATGAAGACATTAAGGGATAGGAAGTGGATAAGTTAAAAATAAAATACATTAAGAACAGAATTACTCGAAAGACAGTTCAGTGAGATACACTAAAAATAACATTCATTACTTTTCAGCAGCAGAAGGCAGAAGGAAGTTACAGCATGACCGCCACTGATTTCGACTGTGTCTTATCCGATAACGTCTCAAGCCACCAAGTTACGTCATCTCTCGGACCACACCGACAGAGTGGTGATGCACCCAACAGATGCTAACCCGATATAAATTTCCTTCATCCCACCGCACCACGTCATAAAGTGACCACTAATATAGGTGTAAAACTTGGGCACTGTGGTAGAAGTTAATTCCATATTAGATTTATTTGATTTATACTAGATTACTGTGTTGTAAACCAAACAAACAAATCTAATATGTAATAAACTAACCACCTTTTCACTTATTTCATTCAGTTCCAGGGTCAGTAAACAATGAATGGTATGGAATCTGTTGGGACGACATGCGTAACACATGTCCAAGCCATTGAAGCAGGCGTCTTCAGATGACTTCACTTATTGAATGATGATCTCCATCATGATCAAACACATGCTGTCGTGCCTCGGAGTTACTTACATGGTTTTGCCACCGGATACGAGCAATCCTACAGAGACAACGATGATCTGACACACAGATTCGTCGCACATCCTTAGCTCGGAAAGACCAGGTTTAGTAGGTGTAGAGGAGGACTTCTCTCACCGAAGCGTTGTTGACCTGACCTTTTACGGTTAGACTAACGTACCGATAGTGCGAAAGGTGGCACAGTTTGGCGTACGCCACTCTGGCTTCCGATATGCGGTTAGAAATTTCATCACATACCCCTGCTAGCACTCACAAAACTGCTCAGACACACGAACTCTTGGACTACTTCCAGTGGCTCACCATCAAGGATGAGCGCAGGCACAAGCTCCTACCAATCTTGAAAAAGTGCTTTGCACTTCGATGGTCCAAAGCACATACCATACTTACGGACACTCTTCCCCAACTGACTAAATGTGACGTGAGCAGCCTGTGTGTTACAGTACAGTATGACGATATCGCCCGCATATTCGAAGTGGAACAGCTGTTCTCTGAATTGTAGATCTACACCACCATCACTCACCTCCTTTAGTGTTATCTCGAAAATTTCATAGATGGCAAAGTTAACCAGAAATAGAGAAATAGCGCAAACCTGACTAACCACACTGCTATTCTGGAACAATGGATACAAGCGGTTGCATGCCCTCACTTTACCTGAGATGTTTATTATGTGGGACTTTCAATATCCGATTAAACTTTTCAGACACGTCAATCTCTAAAAGATAATTCCAGGGTAACCGGAGGCAGCCCTTATATCACGAAACACAATGACTATTGGCCTTCAATACGTGTAGTGATGTTGAAGCATCTGGCTGTGGGTGAAGACATGAACAATGCATCCAAAACCTAAAGAAAACCTTGCCTTCTCCTCGCGAATCATTTTTACATGCTTTTTTCAGAATCTACGAAGTATGAAAGCAACCAATATTTTCAGTGTAACTGGTAAGAGACTAAAACTCCGATGATTATCACAAACATATAGACCCTTTACAAAGAGGGGCACAATGATGGCTTAATCCCAGAGTGATTGAGCACTCTTAGTCTCCTTCCCAAACAATCTAGTCAGTTCCATGACCAAAGTCACACCTCACTTCTTAAAAGGAGCTGGAGGTAAGTAGTCTGGGCCAGATGCCTTGTGGCGTTTCAGGATTTGGTATTCCTTATGGACATCCACTTTGTTAGGTAGTTCACTGATAACTGACCACGGAGTATAATACACTGGAATTGGGGACGCCAGAGCAGTGGGTCAGTGTTAACTGTTTTTTGAAGTGCTTCAATCAGCTTTCCAGGGATCTCTGAAGATTATTTGTCGTTGTTCCGTCTACCTCACAGACCGTCTCACTGACAGTAGGCTTCTTGCTACCAGTGGATCTCATGAGTTGGAACAGCTTCCGACTACTGCGGACCGCATCTACTGCTTCTGTCTCATTCCAGCGTTCTGACCACCAAGTCCCCTGGTTCTTGCCCAAGCGTTGTGTAATCACTCCCAAGAGAGACTTATGCGAAACCACTGTACTCACCATCCACTGGAATAGATGTACAGGCGTCAAAAAGTCATAGGGAGCTCGCAGAGATGCAGTGTTTATTAGCGGAACGTTCTTCTAAACCGCAAGCAGCTATTCTCGCCATTTTCGTAGCATGATCCAAGTACAGCTAATGCTTGTCTACAACTCCTGGAGAATGAAATCTAGCTGCAATGTTAGGTGCACCTAATTTGCTTTCATCGACCTTTTTTGAAAGACAATTTTGATGACCAGCAAAACGCAAGTTGAGCTTAGCACAAACAAATACATCATCGGAGTCCAGACAAGTACTTCATTTGGAAATGATGCACTAATTCTAAGCAATTCACTGGGATCTTTTATGCGGGTCTCTGAGATGTAGCATACATCAATAGCGAGGCTTTCCATAGTCCTGGACAAACCTACCCCTTTTCCGATCTACGTCAAGGTGCAGATGCTAAAGGTGGAGAGCTTAGAAGGTATGCTTGGTTTCAAGATACCGTGTCAAATATTTCACTGGAGAACAGTTTAAGGGGCAACTGTTCAGCAACTCAAAACGGCAAAGACAGACCAGAACTGTAAACAATGAAGTGCAGACGAGTGAAGTGAAGATAAAGACAAAGGCGAAGATGATAATAATAAAAAAAATACTGTTCGTATGTAAGAGTAACAAAAACACTGTAGCAAAGAATTAAACATTTAATTATAGTGTTCGTGGTGAGGGAGGCTTGAATATTTCCAGAAAAGTTGGGCAACCGCTTCAACATCTACACTGTATACTGCAATTCCAAATTTCCTAGTGTCTGTCTTCACATTATTTGGAGTGAAATTAAGATATTGATGAGTTCTTGAGGAATATACAGTACTTAAGAGCTACCAACAACTTGAATACAAAAACTAAGATTCATTAATCTTCTAACCAGTGACTGTAATAATACTCAGACAATCATCAGTCATACGAAACTTATAATGGCGGAAATTTTAATAAAAATGCACCGTCAATAAAGTCAGTCAAATGAAGAGATAATTATAGTACTTGTAGATGAATGTGAAAGGGAATTAGACTATCTTATTTAGAATTGGAAAACTAAACAACCCTGAGGGTTACACTGATCTTGGTGTTGAACAGAGGAATCCAGAATGCGCGTTTCATCTTACTTGGGACTCATCAGCCGGACGTATTTGTACCCCAGTGAGTGATATTATTCCCATTAAAGCTCGAACTCAGTACCCTTCATTTCAAAAGCCAGAGGTCGGGCGATTCGGCCGTGTATACCAATGGGAAATTGCAAGTATCATTACAACACCTGAAAGCTACATTCTAAGAAATTTGGCTCAAGGTTAATATGGCCCTAGAGCGGACGAAAAGCTTCCTAACGCATCTCTGAAACGTTTCAGTGAAAGCTTTACGGCTAATCTTATCCCTAATGATTTTCATGAGGTCTTCAACAACCACATTTTCATGAAAGTGAAAGAAAACGGCCGTTTAAGAAATCATGATCACATGAAGAGCTTAGTTTCATATATTCTGCCCTTGAAATACCCAAAGTAATTAGTTTATCATGAAATCTGAATTGTGATCGGATCACTTCACGTTTTTATGAATAGGTCCATAATTGAAGGTGGTTACGGACTGCTTCACTATGTGAAATATATCACTGAAAAACGTGTGTGGTTAGATTGATCAAAATACCGGACAACCGTTTTTCTTCTTCGGAGCAGAGCCCATCGGCTGTTGTTCCTGGGTAAATTCAGCTCATACAATCAGATTTTTCACATCACCTGAATCTGACCAACTGACTTACATGGACCGATATGCCTAAAAGTGGACGGTCAATCGCAAATGTTTTATTCATCTGTGAAAAATGTCAGCGTGAACCATGTAATTTGCAATTCACATTTATAAGTCAATAATTCTGTCTCACTTTATTCTTTTCTTAGATTTCTGGTGTGTAAGGCTAAAATGCTGACTTTAAGCAGCAGTAGTTTATTAGACGTTTCCACCTACAGCTTGCTAACACCAAAAGAATATCTCCAACTTTGGATACTCTCAGTTTTTTCTGATCAAAGTCCTTATAAATTTCAAAGTAAAAAACAGATTATTTTTATGTCAAGAAAAAAGGATTCACCATTAGATTTCTGATGCTAAACTTAGTCAAACAAACATTAAATGTTATGAAAACAAACTTACTACACCTGGTGCTGCTGAGTCAGATTCTGCATGCCATGTTTGGCGTTTATTAGCAGTTGAAGAAGAAAACTGTGGTGAATATCGGGAAATATTGTCAGTCCATTTACCACTGAAAAAATGGAAAAATTCAAGATGAAAGTAGACACATTATTTTACTTCATTAGTGATTATTTTTCAGCAATATCTTGTTCAAAAGGATACTCAGTCCACTCTTTTCTTAAATTACAATAACAAATGGGATTAGAGGATAATCAGAAGGTTAATTTAGGCTAGAAACTGTATCAAAAGCAGTGAAGTACTTTGAGATATGTATGTTGTTCCCAGCTGGGTATAACTGATCATCGTAGGTTAAAATCTGGAAATATTATTTCACCACAACCACTTTTACTGCCTTCGATCGTTATAAGCTGGTTGCGATTGAATGTTTCGCACTCAGTACCATTCTACTGAAGATAAATGTAGATATTTAATAGTTCTACGGGACAAAAGTACTCATTTCAACCTTATTATCATATATTCTACTCTGAACAAGAGGAGTGAAGAATTGAAATATATCACAGGGAAAAACAAAATGATATCCGTGACGCAACCAAAGTTAATCACAAAGTTGTTGATCAGAGAAATGAATATGCTAACCAATATGCATCCAAAAATGTATGCCCAGCCACTATCATTGCCTTTTCCACTGGAATAAATTAACCCATAAATTAAACCTCGCTCGGTTAAGTAGTTCACCAGTTACTAACCGCTCCTAAGCCCATATAAAGAGGGAGGTTTGGCCATACGGATACCAACCCTACCCCAGAAAACCAATCCAATCACTAAACAAATTTCAAACCACAAAGAAAATATAAAAAATAAAAATTAACTTATTCCTCACTGCAGTCAGGGAGACGAAGTGATGCCCGTTGGTGAAAGCCTTCGGGAAGCCAGTCGACCGATGTGTCTTCACTTCTCTCGATCAAAGCGAGAGTAAACGTGGGCACATGGAATGTCCACACCATGTGTGAACCTAGCTGGCAAGGCTGCCCACATTTCAAAAGAGATGAGGAGGTATAGCATGCAAGTGCTTGGAATCTGCGAGGAATCTGCAGATGGAATGGAAGTGGACTCTCCAAACTGTCAACTGGAGAGGAGTCAATAATCTACTCGGATATTCTCACCCAGAAGACAACCACGAGAAGAGCACACTGACTTTTCGAGTGGCAACCATGATGTCGCTAAGACTGTCAAAGTCTCTCATGCAGTGGGAACCAATCTCCTCCAACATCACCATCACGATCAGGATCAGCATCAGTATCATGACAGCAAGATTCAACTCAAAAGGAAGGAAAGTCACAAGCATACAATGCTACACTACACACCTACAAATAATGCAGATGAAGAGAAGAAGGAGGAATTCTACACACAACTGCAATCAACACTGGACAAGACCCCACCCAGTTGGCGACATCGAAATTCTAATGAGTGATATGAATGCGAAACTGGGAGTGGACAACACAGGAAGAGAACTGATCATGGGTTGAGAAGCACTCAGTGAAATGAAGAACAAGAATGGAGAAGTATTTGCAGACTTCTGAGCATTCAACGATTTGGTGATTGGAGGCAGGCACTGTTTTCAAGCAGGGGAGTGTGTTCAAGCACAAGGATATCCACAAAGCGACATGGATTTCACCAGATAGACACATTAAAAATCATATTGACTTTATCTCAATCTCAAGTAAGTGGAGACGCAGTCAACTTGACATAAGGTCAAGAAGAGGAGCAAATGTAGGTTCAGACCACTCATTGTCTAGTGCAAGGAAACTACCCTCAAAATCGAGTTGACAGCCTTCGAGGAAATCGGTGATGGACCACAGTTGAAGTTCAACACCCGGAAACTGAAGGACGAAACTACAGAAGACATATTCACACCAGCCATCAAGACAAAATGGAAGACATTGAGCAACATCCGTGAAGAAACCTGTGTAGAAGAACTCCGGATCTCTTTGAAAGAGATGTGGAGGGAAACCTGCATAACCGTATTCAGAAGGAGGAAAGAAGATAAGGAATGGATCTCGATGGACACATGGAAGCTGATAGAACAGGAAGAGGAGGATGGTGAAGCAGAAGATGAACCGGTGCCGTGCAGTGCAAGGGTGAACAACGAAAAGAAGGACTGAACACAACGTATAAAATGCTACACTGGATAAACACGTGAAGAAGAGTGCACACAAAGACAAAAGATACTTCTATGACACATTGACAAGTGGAGCAGAACAGGCTGCAGACTTCAGGTAGGAGAGACCTGACGACATTATATCAAATAACCAGGTTATTATCTGGAGGGGAAGAGATCAACACAGATGGAAACAATAAAAGATGATGAAGGAAATATAATTACCAATGAAGGGAAACAAAGGAGACGATGGGCTGACTGACCACTTCAAAAAATTCTTGAATCGACCGCCACCACCATCACCTGCACTTTGTTCAGAAATATCACAAGCAGCCCAGCCACAGAATCACCAGTGAACACAAATCTCTCAACAAAAGTCGAAGTCCTGAACACCATAAAGCTACTGAAATGCTGGAAAGCAGCAGGATCAGATGGAATCCCGCCAGAAGCACTGAGAGCAGACGCAGAGAGAACAGGGGACATGCTCACACCACTAGTGTAGAAGGTGTGAAAGGAAGGGAGGAGAGAAAGGTACCTGCTGGTTGATTGGAAGGAGGGCTACCTGATCAAACTCCCAAAGAAAGGCGACATAAGTCTTTGTAAGAACTGGTGAGGAATCATGCCCCACCATTGTCCACCCCATGCAAAGTATTGTGCCGCATCATTCTGCAGAGACTGAAGGATGAGCTGGATTCAAAAGTACGACCGGAGCATGCTGGCTGGCTTCAGGAGGAACAAATCATGTGTGGATCAAATTGCAACGCTACACCACGCATCATCATAGAACAGAGTATAGAATGGCAGTAAACTCAACTCTACCTTACTTCGACTTCATCGACTTTGAAAAGGCCTTCGACAGCGTCGACCGACAAGTGATTTGACAAACAGCTGCTTCAACACCACGGTTTCAGTGCCACAAACCTCTATCAATCTCATCCAACAACTATATGATATATGATGAAGCTACATGCCAAGTGATTCACAATGGGAAGCTCAGTGATGCCTCTGAAGTGAAGACAGGAGTGAAACAAGGCTGTCTACTGTCACCCATGATATTCCTGATTGTAGTGGACTGGATCATACAACAAACAGTGAGGAGTGAGAAGAGGGTGATACGCTGGCTCGACCGGGGAAAAGAACTTATGAGATTTGGATTTCGCCGATGACTTTTATCTTCTGTCACACAAACTTGAAGATCTACAGGCAAAAACTAACAAGTTGACAGAAGAGGCGTAGCAGCGAAGGGAGACGGGACTTCAAGTGAACGTAGAGAAGACAGAGGTGATGAAGATACCCAACCAACAACAACAACAAACAAACGCCAATCACCATCAATGGGAGTAACTTAAAGGAAGTAGTCTCTTTCACCTATCTAGGCAGCACCGTTTCAACTACAGGTGGCACGGATGAGAACGTCGAAGTCAGGATCAGACAAACAGGACAGGCGTTCACTAGCCTGAAACCAGTGTGGAGATCTTCTGCACTCAGCATAAAGCGTGAACAAGATTCGGATTTTCAACACCAACATCAATTCAGTGCTTCTGTTCAGAGACTTGGTGGCGCGTTACGAAAGGGATTTCCAACAAACTACAGACATTCATCAACAATTGCCTGAGCTGGCTCGTTACTGAGGATCAGATAGATGGCCAGAAAGAATAAGCAATGAGGAACTCTGGTTGGCTGGCTGGCAACGAACCAACCAAGAACCTATCACTCAACAAATCTGCAGAAGGAAGTGGAGATGGATTGGGTATGCACTGAGAAGGCCGACTGGGGACATCATGCTTCACGCCAGGCACTTGAGTGGAACCCCGATGGGAAGGGACGAGTTGGGCATCCTAGGTGAGGGTGACATTGAGGAGATGGTGTGAGGAAGAAATCAGAGCCTGTGGGCTGTCGTGGAGCCAGGTTGAAAAGATTTCAGAGAAGAGCGTTTACTGGAGACGTGCTACTGAAGCCTTGTGTTCCACTAGGAACCCAAGGGACAAATAATAATAATCATAAGTCCTAACTTTTATTACATTCAATGAAATAAAAATATTCTTCGCTGATCCTGTCTATTTTTTCTTTTTAATAATTTTGTCGCCTAAATTTCCTAACATCATTGTTGCCAATACCTATCCATTTGATAAAATCTGTTTTTCCTTGTAAATTTTCGCACATAAAGTGTTTTCCCACCATTTTTCGACACTTTTTGTAAGTCCTATGCAATCAACCCATTCCTTTTCATTCATAAGTATTTTGTTACTAATAATTTTATGAGCAATTCTCATTTCGCAACCATTTTCAATGGAATCACCATCATTAACTTGGCATTTTTATATATTATCATTTGCTAAAAAGTAACTAGCATTAACGCAAGCATAAAAGCTGGGCCCTGTGGTGGTGTATAATTCCAAGTTAACTTGTTTGCTGCATATTTCAGGCAGTGAATACAGGGTAATGCTGGATAAAGAATGTTGTTTTACTGTATCAAATAGTCAAAAAATTAATTAACATGAAATGATATCGACATTTAACTTCACTTTATCCGAATTATTACCATCGTCGGTAAATCCATTTTTAAAATTTCTAAGCAAAATAGTTATATGCTAGATATTATTTGCAAAGTTAGTCAGTTTTAATAACCATTACAAAATTATTCGTCTACAGAAGTACGCCTAATTACACTTCCCCTTTGAAAGTCATAGAGGGTTAAACGGGTACTATCTTTTTGCGTCAGAAGTAACTGCTGGAATTTATGAAAACCTGAGGATTTGGGGCTAATCAGAAGATAAAGCTAAATGAGATAATGCAGAATATTTGTAGCTCAGGAGGATTTTGATGATGTTGTATTCTGTAAGCTGGATGGTTTAATCGTGAAGCTTTCATTGTCATTCAGCACAAACTTCAGGAAAAAGTGAGCTATAGTGTTTTCTGCACAAGTAGCTTAGTAGCTTGTCCTATTGGCC